TACGTTGGACTATATGTGGATGACATGATTATCGCAGCAAGAACCAGCGAAGAAATCAATCAAGTCAAGAACGAACTCAAGAATGCTTTCAAGATGAAGGAGTTGGGTAAGGCAGGATTTATTTTGGGTATGGAAATCGACCACGACAGATCAGCTAGAACTTTATTGATCAAGCAGACTCGCTACATCGGCGACGTGGTCTAGCGATTCGGTCAACAAGATGTCAAGAGCGTGGATAACCCATGCGCATCAGAATTGAAGCTGTCACCAAAGCAGTCACCAACAACGGAAGAGAAACGGTCGGCAATGCGATCCAAGCCTTATCGCTCTTTAATTGGATGTTTGCGGTACATAACGGCATGTACTCGACCGGATATTGCGTACGTGGTAACACAGCTATCACGATTTTCGGAGAATCCCGGACTACAACATTGGAGCGCAGCAATTCGAGTGGTACAGTACTTGAAGACTACGAGCCAAATCGGGATCGTCGACCGAGGAAGTGAGAGCGTTGGGGTCAAGGCATACTCGGATGCAGATTGGTGCATCAACACCGATGACAGACGTTCGGTTTCGGGAGCTATGGTTATGATTGCGAGCGCACCAGTGGTATTCAAGTTGAAATATCAGCGGACGGTTGCGCTAAGTTCAGCGAAAGCTGAGTATATGGCTTTCAGCCTTTGCATGCAGGAAGTTCTTTGGACGCGGGCAATGCTAAGAGAAATGGGACACGAGCAAGTTGAAGGAACACAGGTTTGGGAAGACAACCAAGGTACGATCGCGTAAGCCAATAATGCCAGATATCACGCTAGGACGAAGCATGTTGACATCAATTTTATTCGCGAGAAAGTGCAAGGAGGACTGTTGAATATCGACTATATTGACACGTAGAGTCAGGTTGCGGATATGCTGACGAAGGCACTTGTAACCAAGATGCTAAAGTATGTGCACAGAACCTCCGGAATCAAGGTCAAGTCAGCGACAAAGCACACGCAGCATTAGCGTTAAGTGGGAGTGTTGAGATTACACCGCTGAATGCATGTTGAACAGGCAGATGACGTCACCATATTTACGAGCACGTCATAGTAAATAGTTACATAATGGTTGGTGTTCATTGGTCTAGATAAATCAGGATACTTATTGAAGCCTCAAGAAGGATCTAGAAAGACAGGCTTAGAGTCTGCACAGGTTAGCGAACTAAGACCTGAATATACTTACTTCGGAGTTTACCTTCTACTCAATACGAAGCTTGAAATTTTCTTGTACAAGACAGCATAGCACCTTGCTTTAAGCTTAACATTTAGACTTCTACGACTTTGATCTCATCATTTGCTTCTGTTGTTTGTTAATAACGGTAAAAACACGACACGCTTGCTGATCGCCAGCACTAAGATATTGGAGTACTCAAAAAGAATCGAAGCCAGACGCACACGTTTAGGGTTGACTGGTAGTCTGTTCAAGTCAGCGCTCGGAAATAGAAAGGCAAAGAGTAAGCATTGGAGTTGACACCACCCGAAAAAAGGCCTGGGAGTGACACCAGCAATAAAGACAGTTTGAATTACAGACTGGGGATTGCGGCTAGAAACATCAAAATGGCACAAAATTTGCTTCACGAGTAACCGTAGCACCATGAACCACCGCAAGTGTCGACCCACTGCTTGTAAAAACTATGGCGCGTGGTTGAGCGATTTCAGGCATCCGACGGAAAAGAGCACTGCCATATGCTTGGTATCGAGCTTTGTCATCAGGAAACGCTTCGTTAAGAAAGAACGACTTGAAGAGCATGTGAATAAAGAATTTCGTGGTCAGAAGGCTTCAAGGTCGCAAAGATTCTTCAATCGACGAGTCACAGGTTGATGGAAGAGTACAACACGCTAGAGATGCATAGAGTGGCTTCTACGCGCGTTTGCTAGTGATGACGCGAATAACTTTGTGCTAGATAATGTTGATCCTGTCAATATTGTTTTGACCAAACTTGGTGCGATGATACTTTCTCTGTCAAACAAAAGAGCTGGCGCACTTCACGCTATTTTACACGCGGAGCGAGAGAATCCGAGGAGCGCATGATAGTGCTATGTTGCGGAATGATTGGAACACCTTGAGCTACAGTTTTTGCACAAGCTAAAGAACTGGACCGAAAAAAAGTTGCTTTGAGATTTGAGATTCCCAGCCCATCACGAGTGGCTGGATAGTTGACTGCTGATCGAGTTAACATTCTGCGGATAATTCAAGCATTTTGAAGATGTCAAGAGCTGTAGCAGCGAGTGAGTGGCGGTCGACGAAAAGAGGTAGTGTATCAGGGCTAGGTGAGAATCTTTAGTGTGAATGTCGAGCGTAATGAGCGATTAAATTTTCGAGCAAAACATTATTATATGCAAACCGTAGGAGGTTAAATGTCACGAGTTGCCATATCATGCACGCATCAAGTCGTGGTCGAAATAAATAGAATACCGGTCGTGTTCCATGTGGGAAAGTCTAATTAATGCTCGTGGCGCATGTAACCCGGACTAATAAATGACGTGTCGGTACTGATAGAAAATGAGCTGGCTGTGAGTGCGAATATTCAGTCAGCTTAGTGATGTATCTACACAAAACATAGTATACCAAAATTCCAATGCAGTTATTACGATGGCAAGGGCTCTGCATCAGATACAACACTCACTGGTCGCATGAGGGTGATCTACTTTGCGCGAACAAAAAGTGGAAATTAAATACTTGACTGATGAGAAAGTCCACAGGGAACAACTCGTCAATCTACGTAGTTAAGGTGTGTTTCGCGACACAAAAGTCATGCATTATGTGTTGAACAGCGTCCGAGCCTCAGGTTCAATAACAACAGAGCCAGCTGAAGGAAAATTGGTTAGAGTGATGCAGGAAGTATTACCCCGCATTGGAGAAAATGGAGGATGGTTTTCATCGAAAAGAAGGCACGCAATTCACTTCAAAAGAGTGCTCAAGACTCGGAACGACGCCGACGGCACGATTGGGTGATTTGAGACGAGATTGATGGCATGCAAAAATTGTCATGTTTTCAGCCCCAACCTTTGCTGATATTTGAAATTGAGGAGCGTCAATGAAATCTTGGTTCTCAAGTGACTTTGAGGTTGTTGGATTCCATTTAAACGGAGACTAGAAGGCAAGGATTCGCGAGCAAAGGGTTAGTTACTTTGACTAGAGGTCACGCCTGGATAAAGCCAAGTAGGTGGGTTGTGGGTCAAGCCCCTGCACCCGTCTGGCATAGCCCAAAATACGCGGCATATTATGATTATGCGTGAATTTCAAGAGCCAAGGGGATATGGCTTATACGTGCGATTTTGGAGACGATTTGCTTGAAAGATCGTCAGAGCTTGACCATGTGAGTACTTACTTCACAGATAAGAAGATATCATTGATTGAAGAAAAAAGAAAGCATCTGGGTCGGGAAATCGAGAGAATAAGAATTTACTCATATACTGGATCAACAAGGGACTATCGGCTAACTATTCGCGCAATAAAGACTGGTAAATGGAACGCGCTGAGGTTGTCAATTGAGAAGTTCTCCGATGAAAATGGCGACAGAATTGAGCTTTCAACAAAAGGATGTTGGCTAAGTCGACGTTGGACCTGGTTTTAAGTTTTTAAGTAGCAATCTTTAACCTGCCAGACTCGCGTGACCGGATATAAGCCTTGCAGGAAATACGGCGGCAAGAATTATCCTTTGGTCAACGATGAGCGATTGAAAGTTTGCGAGCGAAGTCTTAAGGTATGAAGGAAATTAAAAATCAGCGTGAGGCTAGAGAGGGATTAATATAAGCGCCCTAGATGCAAAATTGTGCATCTAGGGTGACGCAGATATCCCAGGGTGATAGAAATTTAGTCACACAAGTAGATATTTTGATACATGCTGTCGTCGCGCAATAGTTGTGAAAATGTAGGATTTTGTACCGCTCTCTATCATGAAACATTGAGCTACTAAGGCTGCGTTAACCGATCGAGCGCTAAGTTTCGTATGTTAGGCCTATAAAGACGATGGTGTTAAAACCCGGGCTGCATCTAGACACCTTAGTTCTGGGGAAAGCATTGCGAGCAAAGCATGCAAGTCCAGTAACGCTTGCGATCTGAAGTGACAGATCATACCAAATATGTTGCTTAAAAGAGTATAATGGAAGTCTGGTATACTTAAGCACTGTCTTATACTGAAGCACTGTCATGGGTGAATCGCGGGTATAAAAATGTGGCTGGTTTACAAGGGAGTGTCGAATAAAAAATCGATATAAGGTGCCAGCATTTGGATCGATGAAGATCAACAGCCAAGGGCTGAACGTGCTGGTGTAACAAAGTGATGTTGTTTGACTGCAATGTCTCTTAACTTTTTGCATTGTAGCAGAACTAGTGATTTAGTAAAGAGAGGCTTAATCATTGCATCACACTTACATTGACATCGCTGAATGAAGCTTACTTTATGAGAAGATACACTATTCTGTAGGTCCAAGAGCGTCATAAAACTCCGTTTCAGCCTTCTGCATTTGCATCTTTGAAAACACGAGAATGTAAACTTAAAAATAATATTTCTAGCATCACAGTGGGCAACAATGACATCACAACATGCAACAACAAAGAAGCGCAAAGTATGCGTCGATATTGCGGTAAGTTTTCTCCCACACTACGACATCAAGCCACGCAAGATCCATCTAAGTACTAATACGCTTTTTATGTAATCAGTCAGTGGCATGTATACGCTTCGGCCCTTTCTCCATATACAGAATTCATCGTGCAGCTCTCATGGGGGCTACGGGCTTACCTGACCGCTGCTAGTCAAAGCTATCATGATGCTAGGCGACCTGTGATGTCAGATAGTACCCTTACGGCACTTTGAAGCGCCAGTTTTGCTATTCGTTACATCAGAAAGATTATAAATTCAGGCATACAATGCGGTTGCACAATGACTTCTATTTGCGTATCAATTAAATTAAATTATTTTTTATACTAATAGAATTTTGAGAAGGTATTACAAAATTTACGCATGGCACAAAAAAGCTAATGATTCGGAGCAAAGGTGTCTCTTGGTACGGCTACATGTACATTTTGGATCTTAGTATATGTAATGTGTTCATAATCACGATATAAGTTCATAAATGTGCTTGTGATAAACCTCCTCCACCTCGAATCATACCTTAGTTGGCGTCATATCACAGGGTAATTACAATGCACGTAATGTGCCGTCAAGAATGACATATATTAAAACAGGTCTGACTATATCTGCCAAATTTGATGCAGTATATATCTGCTTACGATCTACAACAATGAAGTTACGGTTCTACACAGCATGAGGCTAGCAGCTTACAGACATTCTTAAGATTGCCATTCTTTGCGCTTGAAGTTCTTCTTCTCTCTTTGCGCATTACAGTGCAATTGTCCGCATCAAGATTTCTCTTTCTAGCGTGCTTATTCAGGTCAACAAGCCCTTGATAAGACGCAGTCATCGCGCTAAATAACCTACAAATCATTCTCGGTGAGACAGTCAAGTATTTATTCGATGGTAGCGGCCATGGCGACTCTCCGAGCCACGATACAAAATTTTCTTGACCGAATGAAAATGGCCAATCACCACGGAAAGGCGGTCTCTACGCTTTGACTCCTTTTTGCTCTATTTGTGCATATGCACCCATTCAGGAGGATGGGAAGTGTAAGAAACCCTGCCCTAAAACTGACTATGAACTCCAGCTTGTTATTAATGGGCCAGAACTGGCTCAGCAAGCCTAGCATGTCCCGTCTGCAAGTGCAATAGTCGCAACTTTTTTGTGGAATTATACATGTTGTGATCTTCGATCAGATTCATCATTGGTTGCCCAATGCGTCGTGACAACCACTCACACGTTTAGCGTGCGAGCTTTTACGAGTACCGAACCTTGGTACTAAATCCTGTCAAAAGTACCAATGCGTGTCGCGCTTAGTATGCGGACTAAACGAGAAAGGCACCCCACCTTAGCCGGCTTCCTATAAGCCGAGTGGAGCGTCCATCAATGTAAACCCAAAGCACATCGTTGACGTCGAAGTGTTGAGGCGTATACAGCGCTTCTTATCGCTATATTGTTTCAACAATGTGATCTCTCTACGTAAGTATATACTCGAGTGACTCAAGCTGTATACTCCGAGAGTTGCTAGTGATATCACAGGGAGGGTTTATCGCACCAGCAAAATCTAATTGTCTGATGACGCAGCTGTTCGAGTCACAACGTGTCTATGCATAAACCATTTTCGGCGACATATATCGAGTTGATATATATAACGCAGCGGACGCCTCTATAGATTTTACCCTATCGCTAGGAAGGGGTTTTGATAGCCCTTCTTGTTCTTTGACATGGCTACAAGATAATTGATAGAAGGACTTCCAATCAAATTGAACTTTCGTGAACAGTCTGAAATCACTTCATGTTAAAATCAGTGCTTTGACTTTGATAAATTTTAGTATCTACTGATTGCGCGGCGTTCTGGCTAAGCGCCAGAAAGTGGTATCCCAAATCAATTTTACGGTTGTGAAAGAATTTGCTTGTACAAGTCGGCGACTGGTTCTTAATTCTTAGCATTTACTATTATTGATTATTTCATTACTAGCTTTCGCTTAATAATTTACTGTTTTTGCCGATAGTTTCAAAAGCAACACGCCGATGACAGCCGCTAGAAAAACATTTATGAGGATGTGGCAGATGCCAAGAGATGGGATACCTACTGACATATGCAGTATCAGTGGTCTGTGAGACTTAGTTGGCTCCACATCATTCGGACCATTTAAGGCCGTAGCAGAAAAATTACACATTTTAATACCGAGAGAATGCAGAGAAATCTCGGTCTACATGGAGATGCTTAAGTCACGTCATAATGCCGCTCTTGGGGTCATTCATATGTAAAGCGCTTTGTTGAAAACAGAGCTGCGTCCCTACAATCACCTGTAGCTGATCTAATCTCTTTTCTAGTGCAACGACACTATTCTGCACCACATAGCATGCCCCAAGCCACTTTGTACGAGATCCTAGCTCGGAGCGCGTATTTAAAACGCTATTTATCTCCGGATTAGCCACACGCCGACATCCTTGGTGACAACCAACATATCACCAAAATTGAGAGAGCAGCGGGGCTGACACAGCGCTTTGATTAGATGAAGCTAAGCTAAGGTCACCGACCATAGTTCTATACCAGAACAAGTACATGTGTAGCGCATGGTAATCTGCTACCTCCAAGAGTACTTGAAATCTCAAGCAAGGCAAATACGCTCTTCCGTTTAATATTGAAACTGTGTTTTTCTGCTTTATTTGCGACAGAGCCGCCTGTTTCTTAAAAACGTTAAGTTTTCCTAACTAATATAGTAGTACGTAATTAATGTGCATAATTATTGACAATCTCGCCACGTAGTGGCTTCTTGTTCCGGTGTTGCCACAGTTCACCGACTTGTGTAATCCACACCTTTGTACGGTCGCACGATCCTGTGTAACCCACCCTTTCATACAAGGGGACGTATTACCCCGTTACACTCCCACAATTTACATTTAACTGTCACCTATTACGAGGTTCACATGTCTGAGACACCGTTACGCCCCTAGAACCATCTTTAAACATTGAGTTCTGTGACTATGACACGACTAACACGCAGCCTCGCTGGTTACGAGGGCGCTCGCAGAAAGAGCCCTTCTTCGTTTCTGCACGCGGTGCATCTCCGTACTGTACGTCCGCGGCTTCACGGGAGACGTATCCCAAGCCCTCGGCAACCGGGCGCCACACACCGCCTCAGCCACGGGCGACTGATTTCCTCGACTAGGATTCGGAGGAAGTCGACAACGAGTCGGATACTCCTTTCCCAGGATGGAAGAAGAGGAGGGCGAGGTGCGTCAACGGCGCGACGTAATCCCGGCTTGACCCTTTCGGACACCGTGTCCATTTTCCGGCCTTTCGACTTCCAAAGGAAGTAATATTATTACCAATCGCCTCGACGAAGCACAGGAGCAGCAGTTGGAGGCTACCCACAGGGCAGCTCTCGTGCGCTCATTTCCACGTTCGGTCCTAGACCCTCAAGTTGAATACGGCTTCCGCTCGACAAGATCCCGCTACAGAAGCGAAAAGTCGCGATTACTCAATCGTTAGGCGTCTGCGTAGTCGGGCCCCCGGCCACTACACAAGCGGAGCTTGACAAGCGATTAGCTCAAGGAGCCCGCTTTTTGGTACCTAAGAAAATCCCAATGGATAGGTACTGCGCTCGACTTTGCGCTCAGTGAGGAGTCACTCCTGTACCCGCAATACGGACTATTCTTGTAGTGCTCGCCTCTGGCAAAACCACTGCAGATGATGATGTGCCTTGAGGCGATGGGTGCAGCGGCGCCTGAAGCTTTCCTCGCTGCCTAACTTACAGCTGAGCCACAAGGAAGTGGACGTGCGCGTAGGACGCCATCTTTGATTTTTGTTTGCCAACGTCAAGGCACAACGCCGACTTCCTGCGTATTGTCGCCCTGCGACACATGGAATAGTCTGTCACACTCCCGCGAATTCATTGGTTTCTCACACGGATAAGTCTACGACCACAGCATCTCAGGCCCATAACGTGAGCTCAGCTCATGACTATCCGGCTTTTCTGGCTATTGCCACGAAGGGCGCACGACGACGCGGAGCGTCATGATCCTTATGATCATAAGCGTCTTCGTCGTCTGGGCAGTCTTGCTGAAGTTGCACCACAAACTTGCACGAGTTTCTGGAAACGGGTATCTTCGCCACTTCACAAGATGTTGGGTTTGACCCTGTCGACGACGTTGATCTACAAGGCTTCCCACGTGATAGTAGACACCACCATTCGCATCGAGAAGGTCGGCGGCGGAAGATGACGAATTGGTCGATCGCCGTCCGGTGACTCACGATGCTCTTCGAGCTTTGGAGTAAAGTCCGTCGTCATCGGCACTCTGCCGAGCATCTTGCTGAGGTCGCATACCGCTGTGCGAAAGTCTCGATAGCTTGGAGCACTTTGTGCACCGACTGCCTCATGTTGAGGATATCGCGCTCTGTCGGAGCAACTCATTGCCGTCGAGCAGACGAATACGTCACTTCGTGCGACGGTGGAGCGCCTTGCGCCATTGGAAATGGAAATCGTTGCACTCCGTGCGCAAACCAGTCGCTTGTTCAGCTTCTGGGTGGCCGAGCGCCTTTGGGCGCCGCCCCAGCGCCAACGCTTCCGCATTCACTTGCGCCGGATCCCGGTACGGCTTTAGCAAGCCCACATATAACATCTGGTGGGTGCGCATCCTTCTCGGAAACTTTAGCGTATATGCATGTCCTCGCTTGGCCACGACCGTATGAAATTCGATAAATTGTGAACGGAGTACGCCTTAAGGACAACAGAGACTGCCTGTGTAGAAAGGTGTTAAGCTTCTAACAAAACCAGGTCTCCGACCTCAATGTTTTCAGCATTTCCTCTGCTTCTTTAGTTTGCATATTCTATCTGCATGTCTTGGCTTTTGAGCCAAGCAGGTGCACCCTGAACCTGACAAGTGCATACTTTATCGCAAGTAATTCCTTGTCGTAGACTGCGTAGTTCCTCCACCTCGCAGCCTTAAGCTGGCGAGATTCGAATGTGATAATCCGATCTCGCCCCTCAGTGTCTGTTTGTAGCAGTGCACAGCCGATGGCAAAGTCCGAGGCGACACAGACGACACAAAAAGTACGATCGGGATCTGGTAATGCCAGTATCGGTGCATGAAGGAGGCTGTCTTCAAACCTGTCAAAAGCCTCTCGATGCTCGGTGTCCCAACACCATTCCGCATCCACCCTAAGGAGATTCGACAATGGCCGTGCCATTTTCGCATTATTCGCGCTATACTTGTGCAAGTCGTTGGAGGGGTCAGCCACTTGCGCAAGTCCTTTCGGTTCGTTGAATTTGCCATTTCACAATAACCTTGATCTTTGCGGAACCGCTCGAAGGCCGCGCTTCCCGATGAAGCTCCTTAAAAAGGGGGTTTTCTTCCGCGCCAAAGATGCACTCATATGCATTACCATACAGCTTATTCTTGCGCATAGGAATCGGTGTATGTGCCGGAATGGTGGCAGCATTTACCTTATTGTAAGCGCGAACAATACGCCACTTGCCGTTCGGCTTCCGGACACAACATTTAGGTGTTGAAAGGGAATACTTGCTCTTACACACCATTCCTGCGTCGTGCTTCGCACGGAAAAAGGCGTCAACGACGTCACACTACTCCTTGAGCGGGGGCCATTAGCGTGTTACGCAGTGTTCTCAGAACCAGGTCGATCTCATGATGCACACCTCGGTCTGGAGGTAGGCCCGACGGTGGGTCATTGGAGACGGTGGGTCATTGGAGACGGTGGGTCATTGGAGACGGCGTCTTCAAATTTCATAACCAAAGGGTAGTACGGATACGAGGGAGCCTCTAGGATCGACGATTTACTTTTTGCGTTCAGCTCCCTCTTAGTGTTTAACAGAACTGGGATTTGTACCTTCTTCTATAGCAAGTTCATCACTTTCTTTAACTGAATCGAAAACCTTCTGAGATACAGTTTTATTTAATTCTTATAAAAACTTTGATAATAAGTCTATATCCGCTATAGGAGATTCATCAACAGGTAAATTATTATTCATACTATTTGTGTTACCAATTATAGCGTTAACACTACGAATAATTCCCAAATAGCAGCAAAATCACCTTCAAGAAGCAACGACGACTTAACCTCCTCGTTCGGTCGTATAATGACCACCTCGGCTAAATCGCCTGCCTTCAAGGCACCGCCAAACCCTTCAAAGGACATCTCATTCAGCTCAAGAAGAGCATCCACCGTGTAAATAGCTTCGAGAGAAATTTCGCCGGCCTCTTCCCCCGTTATACCGCTGACAAGGGTATATAGCTGTGCGCTATCGTCTACGGTAGACACACCCTGGGTCATGGTCGAAGCCCTGCGTCTTGTAGATAACATACGGCTTCTCCGTCTTCTCTCTATAGAGGTTTTACGTCTCATCGAGACCAGTGGGAACACGCACTCAGCGTCGTCCAGTGTCCCCACTCTTGCTGCATCGGAGCCTGGATGTTTTAAACAATATCCGACAAAGAGCTGCTATTTTCGCAAACTTCGTCCAGCAGATAACGTTCAACTCCACGCGCATCAGAAGGGCCTTTCCCAAGATGCCTCGGATCTAGTCCGATCATGCTATCTTGGCATGCAGCAGCTACTTAAATACTTGACCAGGTTAAGTGCTACTCCACGTGCATCACTGGGACCTCGCTCCCGATGCCTCGGCCCTTGACCGGCCATGCCACTTTTGGAATGCAGCAGTTTCTCTGTTACTTGTGCAGTGCTCAGTGGGTTACGTGCCACTCCACGTGTATCACAAGGGTCATGCCCTTGATGGCTCGGCCCTTGGCCGACCATGCCATTCTTGGCATGCAGCGACTGCTCCAATACTTGAGCAGCGCTCAGTGGGTTGTGTGCCCCTCCACGTTTAGCCCGCGAGCCTCGCTCGGGACTCTTGTACGATACACCTTCAGTGCTCGACAACTCGGAAACTCCGTTATCCAGCACATTGACCGTCTCGGTCCAGTGCCTAATCTAATAGCGCTTCTACTTCCTAGCCGAAGTGGGTTCATGACTTATCAAAGCTCCACCAGAAGACGCGCGCGTAGCGCCCAACCTGTTCTACCTCCAATCGATCCATGGCTCATGGGATTCCAACCATGCCATACCAAGGATAACGTCATACCTTGAATTTAGTCTAAGACTTAGCAGTGTTCCAACGCTATCGAAATTAAGAAACTTGACTCCGAGGTCCATAGAGACCCTTGGCACAGTGACACAAGTACACGTCGCTGTGCAAACAGTGACGGTGTCACTTAACCGCGCTTTCAGCGCCTCAGAGTACAGCTGAATTCCTTCGATCGTGGAGCGTCGAGCATAGTTGCCCGACGTCCCGAAATCGATAAGGATATCCCATGGCTTCTCAAAGCTCTTCACGGTCACTTTTACGACTAGCAAGCCCGCCTTACATACACAGTTCGAGTTTAAGAGCACGGAGCCTTTCGAGGCTGGGCCCTGTTAGCCTCTACCTCTTTGAGACTCAACAGAGCTCAGCTTTTTCCCAAAAGGGCGCCCCGCGCCTACTGATTTATGTCGTTTCCCCGCGACAAACCAGACTGTTCAGAAGCGAGACGTCGGTTCGACGAACCTTGAAGCGCCTATCGCAGAAAACAACCAGTCCGAAGGTAACGGAAGTCTCCACAGACAAAACACTGTCGAGTGTCTAAACGCTGCCCGGCAGCTCGGAGCTCCCCTCCTATCTCGCAGCATAGCTGAGACGCATTGGCTCAGGCCCGCTAGACGAGCCCTGACGGTGGGCATTCCAACCAAGCTGAAGCGGCCTAAAGTTTAATTTGGCATTCAATGCCAAATTCATCACTACTTCAGAAGAAGACGAATGCACGCGGAAGCCTGCCATTCTGGCCACGCCAGCGCGGAGACCTTTCATAAAGATGTTCACTGCGACTGCCTCGGGGAGAGGATCTGCTGCCATCCCCGCAATAAGAGTTTCCAACTCTTGGACAAAGTCCACCAACTCCTTCTTGCCTTGTCGGGCAGCAAGGAAACGCAATCGCACGCGATACGCCTGATTAGTCGGCGAGAACACTCGCAGAAGCTGACGCATCAGCTCCTTCAAGGAGGGAAACGCAGCTTCAACCGAAGCACCGCACGTAAATGCCCATTCTCGCGCTCGGTCCCCAAGCTTGGAGATAGCTAGCGCCACGCGCTTCTGCTCGTTTTGGAGCATGGCGGATGCCAGAGTCATCTCGACCTCTCTCACCCAGAGAAGAGAATTCTCTCCATCCTTACCCTCAAAGGTCTTAACGCTCCCCACGAGCGGCCTGGATCGGGAGGAATCATCCGTCGTTGACGGTGACGTCATAGGCGCAATTGACGCTGACAGCTTCTGCTGTAACATAGCGTTTTAATAGTTTGAAAACGCCTTCAGGCGCGCGCTCATCGCTTCAGGTCCTTGCGAAGCAATGTGTTGTACGCCCTCAGGGACCAGCAGAGACATTAGCTTATCAAGCCCGTCCTGCATGCCCAGAAGCAATTAGGCAAATTGCTCCATCCACAAAGAGGATAAGTCGTAACGGCTTAGGCGTAGATAGACTACGAGTGCTGCCAAGTGCAGCGGGGCTGCCGTAGCTCTTTGCTTAGAGCTTCTAAGGTCACCGACCTTAAGATCCATACCAGAACCAGTATGAGTGTAGCGGATTGCAATCCGCTACCTTCAAGAGCACTTAGAAATCTTAACCAAGGAAAATGCACTCTTCGTTTAAGATTGAATATGCGTGATTTGCAGCAGAACCACCTTAATCTAAAACCTTAGGTTTTCCTGGTCAGCGTGAAAATCTAATTTACATGCACAACTACTGGCAGTCCCTGGCTTCGTGTTACGGTGTAGCCACACCATTGTGTGATTACGCCGACTTGTGTACTCCACATCTTTGTACGGTCACACCATCTTGTGTGACCCACCCTTTTATAACACTGTACGTTGCAACCCCGTTACAGAGAGCCCACGAGAGCCGGCCGTTGAAATATCGTCCTTCGCAGACAATACTTAACTTATCCATTTTCACTCGTAAAGGTTAGTGGGTTGACAGGCTCATCAGACCTGATGCCAATATCTGGCGACGCGGAAGAGATAATCTAATAAAGAAGGTTTAAAGGACATTGCTGATCATCCTGGCAACATTGCCCTGGCGCCACTGCCGCTTATGACCTGGCACACAATCAGTCTATCTCTCGCAGGACTTCCTTATTGCAGCGGACCTCCGGAAAGCGAGTGAAGTCGAACCTGTTTCACACACAAGATTCTGTTGGTTGCTGTAACGGGATTACACGTACTTTGGTATCAGGGGTGTGTGTCACACGAGATAGGCATGGTGTGACTACATCCAAACAAGAATACGGTATGTGGCTAGATTGCCAGTAGTTATGCACGTATTTATATAAATTCAGGAAAATTTAAACATTTAAAATTAGGCAGCTTTGTCGCAGATAAAAACAAATAAAAATCAGTTTTGAATTTAAAGCGAAGAGTCTATTAGCTCTAGTCAAGGTACTAACTACTCTTGGTCGTATCGGTTCTTGTAAAGAACGAAAGGTCAGTGACCTAAATTACGCTTCCTCAAGCGCAAAGCTACAGCAGCCCCGCTGCCGTTGCTACATCAATTAGTTCATGGAAATGAGCACGCTGTAAGCAGCAATAACTTGAGGTGATTGAATTCCACCCTGGCGACCATATTGTGTTTTGTACTAAACATCGAATTGCGCTCTGTTTAGAAGTCTGCTGTACGAGATCTGGCTTTACAGGCTGTTAGACAGGAGCCTCCTTCTCACCCAGTGCATTAATTGAATGTGAAACTGTGTAATTTGTGCGTACACCAACATACGAATCTAGTATCGATCTAAGCTAGACAGAATTCTAAATATGCGTCACTCTCGAGACTATAGCATACTTTTCGCGAGAGGCTAGTTCCGCCTCTGGTTGGTGCATACAAATCCAACCTTTATGCATCAACATCTAAATTTCTATATCGTGGTGCACGGTAGACGCAAAAGTACTCTGTAACTGTCAAATAATATATAAAACAGTCATGCTACCTTTTTGGGTATCTTGCCGCGCTTGATCACGATACTTTATGGGTACACGTCTCGTCTTCCTTGGCAATACTGGGTATGCATAAAGTCGTGCTTAATGACGTCACATCAAAGAGTAATGCATGGGTGGTCTATTGATTTTCGAAAATTTCTAACTGCCTGTTACATTTAAAATATATCAATCCGTCTAGTGGTTATACTTGACAATGAATATTTTTTTCTGCCCAGGCAGCTTTGAGTATCGCTGCAAACCAGAAATGTTTATCAAACTCGCATAAATGACGTTTAGGAGCTTTTTTTATGACGCGATCCTCTGTCGTAAAAGATGTGTCATTTATTTGTATGATTCGTTGAACTTGTATCGTAACAATATGAAGCCATGCGCAATGAACAAACAAAATTCAGTGCCCATCTTACCTTTCCAACAATGCACAAACATGTTTAGGTTGCAGCTCCGTAAGTCTACATGTTTTTGTCCAACACAAATGTTTCCACTCTCTCTTATGTCTCTTCTTCTTCCTCAAGAATTTCGGTAGCCACACATGTACATGCGTTTGAGATATGCTAGATTGTGGAGCCACCACATATGTCGGTGAACAATCTCATTATCATGGTCGATTGTACGGACAAAGACCCGCTGCACTCTCCTATCACGTAGTGAACTTGGGGCTATTATTGCCAGCAACAGACCATTCACATAGCCCGATGGGTGAATCGTGAAGCCAAATACTCTAATGCTGCGCTGACTGAGGCTTTACAATTGTAATAGTAGATTCGGTCAAGCGTAAATGTTTAATTTAATGAACTTGCCATTCTCACCCTATCTTCTATTCATCAGATCAAGAAATGGCCACTCTATTACGGTCAAATTGGCGCTAGTGTCGTGGCATAATAGTCTGGATGTATATTGGCTAAATGATGAAAGCTGCGTTGTGCAAACACCCGTTATAAGCTGATAATTAACCCACTCCGCAGTAACAAGCGCTGATTTAAGCTGCAATGAGCGTAATAGGTTCCCTGACTCAAATTCGTATATTTCCAATCGCGATGCAACACCACGAGAGCACACTACGAACAAAGATCCCCAACAAGCGACAAGCGTTTGTGCCGCAGTTGCTGCCTTATTTGTACCAGCGGTTGTAATAGCTCCTTGCTTGGGATTCCTACTAAGGCTTTTGCAGCTTGGCAGCATCGTCCACTCCAAAATACCCGCTGAAGAAACAAATACGTACACATTGCCTTTCCTTGTTGCAACCACTAGCTTTTTGTTGCAGTCAGAGAAGCTAAGGCTCGTGATCCGTGGAGCCATGAGTACTTTTGACAAAACCATTGTTCCAAATTTTGCAAGCTCTGAGTCTTCATGAGAGTCCAAATATTGTAAGCGTAATCTTCCATCTACGGTCCCAATGGCCACCATGTGACCATCGCTCGAAAACTTAACAATGCAAACAGGAATTCCGTCGTACACTGTCGAAATCAGAGTCTGTGCAGCTGTAGCATGTTCACGGCTGTCTTCTGGTCCAACCAGCACTTTGTATAATAAACAACCAAACGCAGTACCCACTACTAACAAGAATTCACACTCCGTTTGAAATCTCTTCATGACATCCATAGAAGTCACAGAATATCGCAAAGATAATTTCACGAGCACTTTAAAATGATCACTGCTGTATAGCACTACACTTCGTTCGTGTGCTGTGGCAACCACTTCTCCTTTACTTGTCCAACACTGGCAAAAGCTTAATGACTTCTCCACCACAGGCGGCAGCACCTTAAGTACGCGAAGCCAGCTGTCAGACACATTTTGGTCGTCATTTGATCCAATCTGGAACACAACCAGCTCTCCATTCGCACTTAAGACACTACAAAGTCCACATAAGTTTGCTTGTGGTGCAGCTAGCGTGCCATTCCATGTCGGAAACGGTAGTAAACCCTCTAACTTGGCCGAGCTTACCCGCAGCTCGGCGTCGGCCATAGAACCTTGCTATTGTGTTCTACTGTACCGCAAAGTACGGTTTCATGACTCCATTATTTCTAAAAGCTGTTAGAAAACAAGCCGACTTACTACATGTAATTTAATTGATATTTATTCCAGAATGGCACCATATGTTAGTCGTTGCGTTTCCATTGATTATGTTATAGATTAAAGAGTAACATCAGTATGGGTTCCCCCACTGATCGGAAAAAGGTACACGCTGTGTGTCACAAACATCACTTTGATTCCTTGTCTAAGGCACATCCCATCTATTTATCGAACCATCTGTACTCGCCCATCTGTTCCGTACGACTTTCGCGTTCATTCAATAAATTGTCAAGCTGGTTTGAGGACTACACTTAGGGTTGGAACTCTTCGAAAAATCGAGGTTTACACTCATGGAACATTCAGACGAGGCGAAAGTTCATAAAAACGACTCGAATGTCGACTGAACCGAAGGGCATCAATTTCTAATGCTGAGAGATGGGAAAAAGAGACGCTTGAAGAAGTCGAAACATTGTGCATGTTGACTTCATTCGTGAACTAACTGAAAAGAAGCTGAATAGTCACTGAAACTTCTAACGGATGCGTGCTGCGGTATGTGAGCTTCGTAGAGGAAGGAGCGGTACCCGAGCGCTTAGCAACTTGCAGATGGCAGTGACAACAAAGTCCAAAGTAGTAAGCACGGATTTGAAATTAACAGCTCAATTTCGTAGCAAATGGCGCTTTGGAGCCAACAGAGAGTGTTTTGGTAGACAAGACAATATCGAGTCATGGACTTTGGTGTCAGTGGCTGGCATTGCTATTATGACAAGTAACGAGACTCTATGTGAAGCACGAAAAGATGAGGAAATTGGTGCTACACATGGCAATTCTAATGTGTATGATATGAATGATAATAGCGACAAAATGTCAATTTACTTTGACGCAGCGTATGAGCCAAAAAAACTGCTTGGCTCTGGCACTTTTGGCGTTGTGATGCAGTGTGCACATAAACAGACTGGACGTGTTTCGGCGGTTAAGATGATTCAAGATGTGCTTGAAAATCAAGAGGAGGTTAAGCGCGAGAGGATGGCACTTGAGCGATTGGAACGCGCTGGCGGACATGATTGCATTGTTGGCTACGAACGCACTTACAATCACGATGACTTTCACTATATTGTGCTCGAGTACGTTCCAGGAACTTCACTTTACTCATTCTTGAAAGAAAATCGTAGTCTCAACACTACGTTATCATTGCATCTTGTATCTCAATTGGCCAGTGCATTGCAATTTATGCACCACGAAGATATTGTTCACCGTGATCTCAAGCCTGAAAATATCATGCTGGAGGAAATTACGAAAAATGGCGAGAATGTCAAGCTGAAGATCATTGATTTTGGCTCTGCTGGACGAGTATCTCAGCCGGAATCGGAGAAGGCACACACCACAACTCTGTCTGGAACTCGCTGTTACTGGCCACCTGAAGCTCTTCAGCATCCAATGATGACTACGGCTATGGACATGTGGGCGCTGGGATGTATTTTATACATTCTCATCTCTGGACGACACCCATTCGATCTGACTGGTCATTCGACTGAAGATGATGTCTTACGGAGAGTAAAAGTCGAGCCAGTATCTTTTCTTCTACCTGTCTGGCACGAGGTTCCGATTGAAACGAAGGATCTGATTCTTGGATTACTTCAAAAGGATCCGTGTGATCGCCTTACAGCGGAACAAGTGCTTGAGCACCCAGCCATGGTTGGTATTAAGAGTATGACGTAATGACTGCAATATTTGGACAGTTTAGCATAATTTGTATTAAACATTTTTGGTATCTGTGAAGTGAAATATTTCACTTGTTCACTCCTTTCATTCGTCCACGTAATATAACATTTGTACCAAATTCTCCAAGGGAGACGCTGGGAGCCAAATGGTGCGTGTTTTCACGTTGCGAATACACAACCAAAGGACTGACGTGTTGTGTAAACTATTACAGCAGCAGACACAAGCGTGTTTGGATGAGTGGCGCTATAAGCACCGTCTACAAGATGCAGCTTGTTTTAGCCGCGACTTGCAACGCGAATTTCCATTAGATTTGCAGAAGCCACCGCTGGCTGCACAAGCATTTAACACACGGTTTGCGGTGCGTCAAGACGCAAGCTGGTCTGGTTCAGACCAGCTTAGCTTAGACAAGTTTCGACGAAGGTTAGAAGAGTATAATTGCGAAGAATACGGTCCGTCACCGAAAAAAAAACAAAAGATTATCTTTGAAAAAGTCGATCACGTTCGCGAGCAGATCAAGAGCAATCAGGATCTTTTAAGGAGGCTGCAAAGCAAACTTCGTGGTGAGAAAGATCGCGTTCGGACGAAAAGTATGTTTATGGATAGAATCAATCCAATTGTGGGGCATCACAAACCCTTTGAAAGGTCCAAAATGGACAAGCTAGAGACGACAAAAAGTCCTGATGAAGAAAAGGTGAGTGAAAACTAAATGGGGTAATATTCATAGTCTGACAGCATCACTGATACCAGAAGAACAAGTCTGTTGAGCCTGGCAACGGTGATGACGAGAATCTTGAAAAACAATCAACGATTGACAACAACTGTAACAAAAATGAGGAAAGCATTGTTGCGAAGTCTCGAAACGAAGAGATTGCAGCGTTAGAAGGTGAGATGCAGATGTCTGGACGAGAGGGAAAGTCAGAGAAGTCAAAGTGTATGATACTTTATTGATTTAATCGTAGATAACCTACGATCTCAGCACCTGTCGCGCACGTCCAAAGCCGACGAGCTCTTTTATGCCCGTCTTGCAAGTCGGGAATCAAACGTCCGTAGCCTGCTTTTGCTTTGTATTGGACTCGATTCGCTGCTAAAGATATGTGTTTGCTTATATCTGAACTTTGTATGACACAGACAATATTGGAGGAGGTTCTAATTGAAAGTCTGTACGATATTGTACCAAACGTTTTCAAACAAGAGGTGGAGAACTCGCGACACAAGGAGCTACCACCAGAGCTTCTTCAAATTGTTGAAAATGCGTTGCACGAAGGTTCTATAGAGGAAGTTCTCGTTGAGAAATATAATGTGACCATTACGCGTCGGCATTTGCAGTGCCTGTTGCCTACAACATGGTTGAACGATGAGGTTCGTGTGGTCATAGATCGTTCTCGAGAATGAAAACTCATCATTGTGGGATTTGTGTCTTTAATTAGGTGATTAACTTTTACCTTCAAATGATGAGTGAGCGCGATGAAGAACTGGTCAAGGCTGGTCATTTGGCCAAGCGCAGTCACTTTTTCAATTCATTTTTCTATACCAAGGTGTCAGAAAACGGCTACAATTACATTAATGTCCGTAGATGGACGAGGAAGGTTTGTCAAATTAATGGTATCGTGTGTTGTTGATGACTTCTTATTATTGTATCCTTGCTTAGATAGATGTGTTTGCCATGGACAAGATTTTCTTTCCAATAAATGTTGCCAATGTAAGAATCATGTCGAGCTACTTTTGTTGTGCCTACAGTTGACATTATTTTTTTCAAACAGATGCACTGGTGCATGGCTGTGATCTTTATGACGGAAAAACGCATTCAGTACTACGATTCCATGCACGGAAGCGGTGCTTCGTGTCTCAAAGTGCTTTTAAGGTACTGAGACACCAGAGTCTTGAACATCTTACGACAAAGTGACTTATTACCACGTGATCCTTTAATGTAGGTATTTGCACGATGAGTCAGAGCACAAAAGAAAAGAGAAATTTAATGATGAAGGTTGGGAACTAGTGACCACCACATTTGATACGCCTCAACAGAAGAATGGGTCCGACTGCGGTGTTTTCTCGTGTATGTTCGCTGATTACCTTTCTTTGAACAAGGTTTGGAATAATTTCATTTGACGCTTTCAAAAAAAAACTAACAGAAGTTCTGCAATTGATAGCCGTTATCGTTCGTTCAGAAGGACATTCCATTTCATCGACACCGAATGGTACTTCATGTTAGCCGAGGTTATATTCCGCTCGAGGAAGACGGGTTATAGAGTACACTACCGGAATGATACTTGAGTGAACTTAAAGCGACACAAGCATCAGCACAGTAGATGCAGCGGAACCAACACAACAGATTTGGGCCTGTAGCTGCTCTGCTACTTTATTAATTACGCTACTGTAGCTCGTGGGGTCTTCATATATACGTGCATCAAGAAGCTTGCGCGTTAGTAAAAAATGTCGTGGCTTACTTTATCTTAAAGCCTTCACTGCGCAAGCAGGCCTTGTGTGCCTCGATAAGTTCCTTGCATTGATCCTCACCGTTCTTGACAATGCATAAGTCACGTGCTTGTTTTGTAGTTGGACATGAGCAGCAAATTTTCTTGCCAGACTTGCCTAGCACAGGACCGTCGGTTGCTCGTAAGCTGCACTTCGTTTCAGCCATTATTTCTCTTTTTTGGCGTTTTTGAACTCTGTGGTCTAGGAGCCTATTCCCGTTTTTCTCACGTATGTGTATTTTATATGTATCGAATATATTGCGTTTCCAATGCAGAGTATGAAAGGAATTTCCAACTCAAATATTGTATGAAGATTATCCTCAATGATCTTAATAAACCTTCATGTAGTAATTGCGCGACCTCGATCTGCACGGTCTCAAGTTATGGTCAAAAGCGTTTCGCGTTTGATAGTCAACAGTCACAAATATTGGCGACTTTTGAAAAATCGCGCTTGAGGGTGCAACAGTAGTTTTTTTACTTTAGAATCACTTGTTATTGAAAAAATAGTTTCAAGCACTTGTTCTATAACACATTCTATCTTCTTATGCTGTCTCTTCCTTTCTACCTCTCCTTTCATAACACAACTAGCTAGACAACTAATCACGGTTGAGGTTCAAGGCAGGAGTGCACGAATCCAACATCTGTGCGTCATCAACACAAACTCCTCTAGTAGAAAACCCTGTGTGCAAAGTGCACTGCAACTCGAAGACCAACATCTTTCATACTTCGATTTACACCCACAGCCAAGAACCATATCGAATGAACGAAGTTGTTTACAGTTCACATTTGGCGATGCATTTAATTATTAGCATCTTGACCGCGCTAAGGTGCAAAGCCTTCTCGGTTCGTCAGGTGTAAACCCGCTGACACATCACTATAAGGATACATTTTTTATTTCTTTTATTTTTATGGATCGCTGGAGCAGGGTGAGACATTCATGTATCGAGAGCTGTTGTCTGGAGAGAGGGAACACACTCCGGCTGATAGTTAAATCGGCATTCCACAGTCATCACAGCCTCGGCAAGTAGCAGAGCGGGTGGAAGTCGGTCAACATGCAAATCAATTGTACGTAACTCGGACATCAAACTATACTGCTGTAGATGCGTGGATGTTACGGTTCATGTTTTCCAGATACCCGTGGGAAAAACGCATGGCAACATCAAGGGCGAGGCGGCAGATAATTTGGTGAAACGGGGTCCGCGATAAATATAGAGATAGAGCAGCGAGGCTGCCGTAGCTTAGCGCTTGAGGAAGCGTACTTTAGGTCACCGATCTTTCGTTCTTTACAAGAACCAAGTATGAGTTAGCGGATTGCAATGCGCTTACTCCAAGAGTGATTATTGCCTTCCCAAGACTAATTGACTCTTAAGTTTAAATTCAAAACTGATTTTTATTTATTTATTATCCTAATATTAAAAGTTAAGATTTTCCTATATACACTAAATATATATAGTAAAATCCAAATACATGCATAACTACTGGCTACCTAGCCCCGTACCGTACATTTGTTTGGGTGTGGTCACACCATGCACATCTCGTGTGACACACGCCCTTTTGATTAGGGTTCGTGTAACCCCGTTACAGATAGTAATATAGTAAGATGGCCGACATTGGGCTAACCTTAGCCAATACATGAAGGTAGATCTATGTACCTTCTGTGTCCATTGTGGGAATTGATAACAAGAAGTTGCAGTATGGAGTTACCAAATGCATATGTAACAACTTATATGAAGTCACAAACACGTTTTCTGCATGGAAATTTATACTGGTGACGAGACCGACGTGTCTCAGTCTTTCAAAGTGGGTGGCGTAGGCCAGTCACTTCTACTGGATACTTTCCACTAAGAATGAAGTTCAAGGTTGTCGAAGTTTGAGCTCCGCACACTCAAGATCTTGCATCAGTTAAAAGTGAGGCTCAACATCAGAGATTCTTGATTTATAAATCAGAAACTCAAGATCTTATTAGTAAAACCTCTAGTGGCCCAAGGGATATTTTGCATGTAGCTAGGAACCATAACTCATTTTAATTCAGCTGCAAATTTACCTTTAATGTATCAAGTCGTTTTTTTCTCCTTCAAGTCGGGACTGTCCTTCTCCCTTCACGTCGAGATTGCTTTCTCGTCGCAAAGCGTGTGTGTTGTGTCTGAGGGACTGTTTGTGAACAGTGCCTTCTTACAGCTATATTAATATAAGTCACTGCTTTTTACCTCCTTATGTAAGTCAACGTCTCGCTAGAAGTGAGCAACACGCGGTGAAGTATGTCAGCTGACATAAGCTTTCCCAAGTAAGTGTGTGTTCAATGACGGGTAATTCCCGGTAAACCAAGGACATAATTGAGTTCTGAAAGTTGAAACTGTGTGAACGTGCCAGATGCAATGAGCTACGAAATACTGTAGAGGAAAAGGTCTATTAGCTGCTGAGCAGATCCATGGTACTCGCACGTATTTCATATGCCATAGCACATAGGGTCGGGCTCACGCACACGGGCGTACAGCGAGTCCCTTACGAGGAAACGTCGAGCTCCAGCGGCCAACTGAAAGTGAACTAGGTTCTGTTGTACCTTGCAAATCGGACCCAGCTCTATAAACGGGTCCTCTTCAAGAGAATTCAGGCTCATTGTTCACGATCGTTGGTTATTGATTTGAACGTTGCCGGTAGTATGAAGCTTATGACATTTTAATAATTTCAAGAGCGTCATCCAATTATGTACGACGCGTGATTGTAAAAAAGTTAGCTGTACGCGAAGGAATCTAAAATGCCAAAATCAGATACGATATTTGTGCGTCTTGACACGAGACCTAGGGTGCAAGTGCTGCAGGCGTGCTACAACTTTCAGCAAACTTTGCAGACTACTTCAGCCTGGCACAGATCTAGTCCTAGAATCGGACTCTGAAACGATCGCGTCATTGGTATGGTGTGGTTGGATCGCGAGCCATCAAGCCGAAAGCACTAAGTGACACGCGCTTCTCTCTTTGTGAAGCTTTGGCGAGTTTATAGATTATCCCTGCCAGGAAATAGAAGCGACTTTGGTGTGGACACGGAGCTGCAAAAGAATATGTACAAAACATGTGATTATTCGAGTAGTCTAGCAAAGAAATTGATAGGTGCTTGAGATTGATTTTAAAAGGCAGTGCAACGTGATGCAGGAAAGGTAGAGAGTGTGCTGCGGATACCAGAGTGTGAACGGGAAGAAGACAGTATGTCGTGGGCTATGCCAATGCCGATGAGTAGTGAAATCGACTGAACATCGCACGATCTTTTGAAGTTGAAAGGCGATTGTATGCCGCCTATAGAAAAGCGAGGCTTTCAAAATTGTAAATCGGGTCCATCTTTGTCGCAATATGACAGGTGTGACGGGCCCACTGAGCGGAGCACGGATAAGCTGCAGTAATGTTTATTCACTCGTGAATGGTGTGATCGGGTTAGTCTTAAGCTGTGAGTAATTCCTCACTACCTTTTGTAGAAGCTTGCACAGAGCTGACGAAGGTATTGTTTTCCAGCATATAAAAGAAATCACGAATGGAAGGGTCAACGAAATGATATAACTGGAAACGGACCCTAGTTTGACATCCGCCGTGGGAGAATCTGTCACAGAGGACATCTACAGAGCGCTGAGTGCAAAGGTATGTGAATGGATCTATCGATTCCCTTCTATCCATTGTTAAAGGAGGATCACAACCTGGTTCTGAGAAACCCACCACACGCGTGTGACCCTGGGTCGTGGCGTCATAAAGTTGGCCTGGCTCCCGAACCGAATATTGCGTCACAGAGCAAAAAAGCTTAAAAAGAGAACAGTGCGATGCTATCGACGGTTTCCTGTGTTCAAAGGTTAAAGCGGGCTTGGCGAAAGGGTTAGTCTCCTGACTCGGCGTGGAATCTCAGGGTCAGAAAGATTATTTAGTGGCAAGTGGTGAATTGTACACAGGCAAGAACTACAGTTCCGGTACAAAAGCGGGTTGTTGAAAATGCACTGCTGAACAGCATAGTGAGCTGCACTGTATTCATTGGGCTTATGATATTCGTCTGATGAGATTACAATATCCATCTGACTTCGGTTAAGGCTCTGAGCAAAATGTCTGATTAAAATACAGAGACTGATTGATGGCAAAGCAACGTTTGGCGGCGTAGTGACACATTTATTTAGACAGCATCACGGCTATGCCCATGCCTACTCCGACGATTCGTTCATCCGTGGTCGTGTAGAGAACGGGAAGTCGGGTAACTACATTTATGATTTGCAAGCGCTGCTCGACCAAATGTGTGTTCACAAACACTGACAAGCACGCCTTTGGCGCCGACCAAGTCGCTTTGGTGAGTTTCTTTATTGGCAGATCCCGCAAAAATAAAACCAAGAAATATTGCTATTGCCTGCGTCCCATGAGGACTTGAGAAAATGGCTTGGCATGACCAATAACCTGTATACGTACAGTGCAAACGACGTTGTACGGATCCTCCTCCAGCGTCTTACGAAGATATCAAACGATGTTGGGGGGCTTTAGAAGCACAGGTCTTGAGGGATGAGAAAGAAAGTCCGAAATGTGTCTGAGTTACGTCTCTTCCAAATCAAGACCAGCAATTTCGCGTTGTCTGTATTATTTCAGCCTTTGCAATGGACAACGTTTTACTTCAAGTAGATAGATGCCAACGGGCAAGATTGTGTGATCGCGTGGGAATGATGCGGTGATGAAGTACGACCCCTTTCACGAAAAAAACCATTTTGCTGTGATGCATGTCTTCGTCAAGTTCAGGGTACACATTTTCGCGTCGCCTCGACTGCGAATTGCTGCATGTCTCATAGGTTACGTCGCCAATTACTGAGATGATATATGTAGCGTATAGGTCGGATGCAACATGCGTTGCGTTGCATTGCCGAAATCTTTTTGAGTTAAACTGTTTGCAAATCTAGATGTCGCTTTATTAAAACGCAAAGTCGCATGTCTGTACCGCTATGCCTTTTCAAAAGGTTTGATGTATTATAGCGCTGACCCAAATAATACTCAGCGGGAAGTGGTGCTTCACGATGAAGACGTCAAGTACTGAATACTGTACGACTTCCTTGAGTGGTCAGCTAGAAAAGACAAACCGCTCGGGGATCGCTATGTATTGGTGGCTTAACATGTAAACGTGGGTAAACAAATATGTTCGAATGTGTTCAATGCAACAACGCCGCACACGAAGGCACTTTTGGCCAGCCTACCGGTTCCGGCAGAGCGTAAGTAAAGAAATCATATTTGAAAGATGCATCAGCCGATATCAGCGCTGTGGTCAATGAACCGTCTGAGCAAAATGGCTCGTTTGCTGCTGCCAGAGTCAGTGTGACCGGTGAAAATACAGGTAAGCTGTTATTTGACAGAGTACTTAGCCAATTTGGCTTGTGCGGCAGGGCTGCCGTAGCTCTTTGCTTAGGTGGAAGCTTACTAAGGTCACCGACCGTACGTTCAATACCAGAACCGGTACAAGTGTAGCGGATCACAATCCGCTACCTCCAAGAGTACCCAAAACCTTAACCAAGGCAAATACGCTCTTGCGCTCAAGATTTAAATTGCACTAATTTGTTTTATTTGCCTATATCTTAAACCTTCGGTCTCCCCAATTAAATTGTAAAGCCTAACCAATCGGCATGACTATTGGCAGTCCAGTCACGTATGGCTTCTTGTTACGGTGTAGCCACACCAATGAGAGTAGCACACCGCCTTGTGTAATCCACACCTTTGTACGGTCATACCATCTTGTATGACCCAACATTCTCTACAAGGGTACGTGTAACCCCGTTACAGCTAGCCGGTAGCCATCGTGTCGAATAGAGATCCGCACATCCAGCAAACTTTAGTAAACGTTTTCAACGGTGCTTGGCGCCAGCTTGGATATTTCAATCGCTTCCAAGAGCAAAGATGGTCACATGGAACGCATAAAGTGCAGTGTAGAGAATATTCTCCTGATCGTATGCGTAAAGAGAGAAGCTAGCTGTTCACACTCACTACGTTAAGTTGAAAACGCATTGAATGCCTCTACAGGCTAAACCTCATTTTACATTAATAATTTGTCGAGGCCCGGATGTCTTTGACCATTTCACGTAGTGGCTTGATTTTTGGGGGAGGGGCTGTTGATCAAATTTGACTCGCTAATAACAGCCCAACCACACATCGCAAAGCGATAAGTAATTTATCTCAATGACATTAATGGTTATGGGTAAGGTGCTCAACACTGAGGATGAGAGCCAAAATTGCTGAAATTAAGTGACGATAAAAGAACCAGGCGACACACACACGATTACGTTGCGGGGCATCGGTTTTTCCATACGCAGTTTACCAAACTACACATGAAGTATATGCGGTCATCATTGACCACACATCATCGAACCGCTCACGATTGTGGCTATGAGAGTGCGAACACTTTTTCTCTTCTCTTCTTTTTTTCTTGTTTTGCAAACCATTTGAATGTAATTTTTTTTCGCAGACGGGGTGATGATTGCATCATCTCCTGTAGCAAAGCTACCTCTACTTGGATGCGGCCAAGTGGTTATTGATATGTGAGGGTCGGCAAAGCGATGGCTAAATTTATCGAGCAAATCGTAGATTTTGCTCATCTCAGACACTGATCTACACCGGGACTATCGAAAGCCAATGTGTCCCCATAACAAAAAGAGCTCACGAGATCCAGCCAGCCGTGAAAGATTCGATCTCCGGCGGGACAAGTGAAGTCCAATATTTATGCGAGGCCTTCGCTAAGCCGGCAGTTATCGAAGGGCAGAACCATTGCCTGGCAAAGTGAAAGGGCACCCGCATCTGGAACCCTCTTTAGAGCTTGATGTCTTACTTCGGCATGATTGTTCGATGCTGTGGATGCTTACAACCTACCTAATTTACAATCGGCATCGATTCTTCTTTGAGATGAAGCAGCGTCGCACGCTTCAGCACGCTTCCAAGTAGTGAATTATGACCGACCTTCTAGCGAATGGAACTCTTGGTCTATGGCTGCTAAAGCTGTCTCATCGAGACAAGCGGGGCTGGTGATAATGGGTTGAAATATCTCGCCTACGTCAAATTTTAAAGGTTAAAAGATGAGCGTGTCATGGTGCATAAGGCAGCCTTTGCTTTGTTGAGACTGATTGATGACAATTTGCAATGGGTGACACGGATGGCTTGTATCACCTAGTACGCAACTGAATCTGATGACCAGCGGTAGTTTTATCAGCCTTTAATACCAAGGCACATTTCTCAAGCACAGAGGGTGGTCCTTAAGAGTGATTGTCTGTAGGCTCAGAAATCGCTAGTGGAACGACTTCCATACGTCCAATTCACCGTGTGTTAGCGGAAGGCCCGCATCCAATGATGTGTAAGGGCTCAGCGCCTCTGCAGCAAGCAACTTAAGAGGCCTTAACACCGTAATCACGACGTGATGTAGACTTGTCATGTCTCTGGTGCATTATGAAATGCACGTGGACCCTGGAGCCAGGCTCAGCTCGTTGGCGACAACCCATCATGATATCATTATATCTCACCGAAAGGTTAGAAAACTTTGGCATGTCCTTATCGTTAGGCGGAAACATCGTACTCCAGATCTCCCTTCGTTTTTGCCTCTGATTAATGCCTGCTCTCTTTGACAGTCGTGCATCGTGCGTTATTGTACGTCGTTCTGAGACCAAATAGGATATTTTCCGGCTTCACGAACCCGGAACATTGCTTTTGATAACTAAAAACCCTGGCTGGGAGTCTCGACTCTCCGAAGAAAGTCCCCCTTTTAGCGTTACAATTAGTTCTGGCCTCCACAAACTACGGTTATTATCAGTTTTGTCTGGTAGGACGCCAGTCGCCTGCTAGAATTCGACTTTTCCGTGGGATGTCGTCAGTTGACCCAGCGCGAGAGCATCGTCTGCAGCTCTCATCCGAGAGAGAAGGGGGTAAACAGGACGAAAGATCTTGGTTTTGCCATTGGTGTGATATCTACGAGTTCAACAGTATCAGCTAAGTATCTAAAAGATTGCTTTCTTAACCCTCAGCTGAAACAATCTGGCATGCTCATAGAGCCTTCACCTACCGCGATTTGAATAGCTTTTAAGGGATGAGGTTGTTCAATTAATTCGACACCTACCGCCCCTTCAAAATGTTGATGGGCGCTTAGGTCTCGGAGCGAGCTGCATCTGTACGGTGACCCTCCATGAATTCGGTGATCGTTACTGTTTCTGAAAGAGGGTGTGCTACCATTTTGGAGATATGAATTTTCATCTGCTGGCCATAATCTTTGTATCTACGAGTGTGGACTCGATCGCAGACAGTACGCTTTGATAGGCGGTGGAAACAATAAAGTCGTAACTTCCTGAATCAATTTCCAGGTTTGAAATGCCTTCTAGAAATATAACACGTGAATGCCCATTCTCGCGCGCCGTCTTCAAGTTTAAGTATGCTTGTACGACAAATTGATACTTGTCATGAGCATGGCCGAGTTCATTGCCATCATAACTTTCTCACCCAAAAATTTATCCGTCTCTGCCCATAAAGAATTGTACGCACAGCATAGAAGGCATCACGGTGGCGGTGATGCTGGTTGAGCTCTCGCCGTAGCTTGATTGAAGTGCTCCTAAAACTAGATCACCAGCGTTTTTTCAGATTTGGCGATTACACAGTTATTGCTTTCAGTTCATAGCCGCCAATTTATTTATCTCTTCGGGACTAGCTAAATTCGAGCTAATAAAGCGTGCCTAGTTGTAGAAAAAAGAGATTGCCGAAGACTCGCGTGCAATCCTCGCAGCTGCTTTATTCATATGGGGTCTTGGCCGGCTTCCAATATAACGTTTGCTTCTCTGAAGCTGCATTAAATTTTGAGGCGACGCACTTTTCACCCAGCACGCAACTTAAGTACAATACGTTTTGGCGCTTGTGCCAGCATTGGGTACAGACAAACTTAACCGCTGATGATCTAAGTACACGCAGTACTCCTTAGCAGTGTCGATTGAAAGGGTTGATAAACGCTCTTTTGATCTCTATTAAGCAGAAGGCATGCATCCTAAGGCACAAAAGGCAACTTCTCATGTATAAATGGTGAATTACGACGTAATTGAGTCTACAAAACGTTGCGACTTTTTTGCTTGCAGACTGTCAAGCTCAACTCGATGGGCCATGACCAGATTATTGGTGATTAGTTGAACGTTGTCGTAAGGTTCGCGGCGGGGCTTCACAACTGCAGCTGAGTGTGGAACTGACGCAGATTAGAGGCAGCGCGTTAGATCGTATTGTCTTTGGTCAATAGTTTTACCGTACGCCTGTTAATGTGTGCGAAAGTGCCGTGTCGGGACTCGGGAATTCTCTGTGCCAATTTTTGTTGGAGACATCTAAGCTTTCTCGTGGAGAACAGCGTGGTAATTGTTGGCCACTATGGTCGCGTCTTTATCAATCGCTTATTTGACTGAGTGGGCTATACTTCTTATGCGAATCTTAAGGCACAGTCAGTTGCTACGGTTGGATAAGAAAGTTTCGGCTTTCGTGACGCGATGCATTCAAACGATAAGCTACGTGTGGTACTTATTTTGGTGAAAGAGGGTGTAACGAAGTAATGTCGCTATTATCCCTCGTTCTCAGAGCCAAGTTTACAAGTAGCAATGTATGTGTGACGGGGCACACGGCACCTTGCACAGAGGAAGCTTGACTTCCAAGAGTAT